CATGGATACCTCATTTTAGCTTTTCATAAAAATTTGTGAAATTTTTACTAGAGGTAGCTGGTGCACATGTTTGAGTGTTCCATCCTCATTTCCTTTCTCATTGGCTTATTTCTATCTCTCTGACTTTTCTTATCTCCACCTTTACATGCCCAGCCTACTTAGCAAACTATCTTGATTTTTTTTCATCAATATTAGAGTAAAGGTTTAATTACATCAATAAAAAAAAAAATTGAAAATTGAAAAAAAAATATTAGAGTGAAGGTACCTAATGGTCAGTTTTTTCAAATCTCTCATTTTACTTTATAGGCGAGAGAAATGGAAAAATAATAAACTAGTGGTAAATCTCATCCTTCTATAATAAGCTTTTGATGGTCTCAATCTTCTATTTCTCTGTTTAAAAACTCCATTTGTAGATGCTTCTCTCTCTCAGTCATCATTTTACTTACAGTTTTCTCATTGTTTTATACATATTAGTCATTCCAAATTAAGTTGTATATTCCTAATATGCAAGGAGTATGTTTTATATCTTTTATGTTTGCCATGGTGTTCTGCAAATCTTTATTTCTTACATTCTTTGAAATGTTGAAACAGCGAAGTTCCCAAAAAGTATATGGGAGCTGCATGAGAAAATGAAGCGGAAGTAGCAAACTCCGACATTTTAAAACATTTTAACATTATTTGGAGAGAAATCATCTGAAGAACCAGAGACTTAATGGATAACGATAGGTCTTTCTGTTTGCTCATTAGAGGAACTAATGGCAGTAGCAAGCAACCTTATTTTCTATTGTCTGGGACCCTGCTGTTCTGTTGGCTCTCCTGCAAGTTGCTGTATGTTTCTGCACCTTTAGGATGCCTATTTTGATTATTTTCTGGTGAAGGGTTACTTTTACATTGTAAAACTGACCTCCTTATTTACCCATCCTTAGTACGGTTAAATTTAATTTTATTAATTTTGTGCTCAGAAGCCACCACATTACCTGTGAATGACAGTGATGTTGCTCAGGTAATGACAGGCCTAACATGGAGGCCTTGCTCAATGCTCTTATAAGAGTAAATTCAGCTACAGGAGAAATTATTTCAAACCATTATTTTTCCATGCTTGGAATGTCATTTGTGGAAATGGGGAAAATACACTCTTCCTATTGAGTGATTTCACTGACTTGCTGTTCTCTTGGGGATTGTTAAGTGAAATTACTGAAATTATTTGCCAAATTTGGTGTTGCACATGTTTAAATGGTTTTTTTTTTTTTTTTTTTCTCCTAGAGGTTCATAGTTTTCATCACATTTTTCAGGTGGCTTTCTGTGACAGAAAATAGTTAAAGTAGCTGACTTAGGAGGGAAGACAAAACTGAAATCCTGAATTCACGAAAGGGATACATTTGTTAGGAAATAGGCTGACTTTTGGGAATGACTTTAAGATCAATATTTTTTTTTGGCCACAAACCATAAGAATCTTTGGTGATGTTTGCTGAAATACATCTCCCAGGCCTTGGCTACCAAGGTTCCAAGTCTGTAGGTCTGCTATAGGTCCTCAGTAGACTAGAAATCTGAGTGATTCTGATAAAGGTGTTCCTTGGAACACATTTTGAGAAACTTTGCTTTAAGCAATTTGATGTAGGGAATATTTTTGTTATATCTCCAGCACCTAGCCTGGGCCTGGCACATAGTGGACATTTCAAACTCTTTTCCCTCTCTTTAAACAACAGTTGTACACTGTAAAACGAGTAAGAATTGTCAATTCGGTATGGGAGGGGCGTCCTACTTGAGTAAGACTCAGAGGTGCCCTAGCGTGACCCCTTAGCGACGTGCTATAACTATACCAAAAAAAACAAACCTGTTTCTGTCGCGTCAATTCCGACTTGTAGGCCACAGTCACCTCATGGCCAGTGTCTGAAGACTAGTAAAGATCCCTACTAGTCTACTAGGGACTACTTATCCACTACGTGCCCAGTGGAATGAGTACGTTAGAGAAAGTGTCTGTGTGTGTGTTTAAATCACTCAGTTGTGGTCATGTCTCTGTCTCAACTTCAGATATTTGCTTTTGCTGGCGATCTTTCCTCCTCGGTCAAGCAAGAAATGCCTTAAGCCTGTAGGGATTAGAGCAGCCTTTCTAAAGTGAAATTTATAACAACCGACCCAGCTTTAAACTGGCAGGAATTGGTTACTTTGGTCTGGTCAGTATTTATTAGAACATAAGATAATTGGAACTCTTCTGAATTGAGAATTTCGAGAGCTGTCAAGGAGACTTAACATAATTCCTTATGTAATAGAATAATGAAGTCTGACACAAAGGAGGGTGCACCTGAGTGACTGCCCAGGTATCTGTTGCCTCATTCATCTCCATTTTCCCCAGAGCCCAGTTGGTACACAGCCGAGTCCTGAGGGTGTGTCCGATCTGGAACACTCTGGTGGCGAACAGACAACAAGGGTGTTGAAGTTCACTCAGAGTAAGACAAGAGGGATTTGATTCAGACTGGGATGTTTAGGACTTTCCAAGGACAGATTGATCTTACCATTTGGCTCCAAGATTATTCAAACCTCTTGGGAATTTTTCAGACTAGGGAATAAAAATCTTGTCTCTGTTGATTTCTTCATATTCTTAATTCCCATCCTGCCTTAGCCTAAGTCAGGCAATTTGCTCTGGGGTTTTATCTAGAATGTATATGGAATTGGAGAATTGAATGGAAGGACTGTCCTTTATGTACCTCTTTTTCCCCCTCTTCTTCAGTCTCTATAATTACTCACATCTGCATAAATGTGACAGGTTAATAATTGTTCTTAAAGCCTGTCTCTGATGTGGCTGAATAAAATGCCGTCTTCTTTACACTTGCTAGCATGTATGTAAGTATGTATGTATTTAGTTTTGAAGATCAGATCTCTCATTAGAGAATGTTAGTTTATTACAGTCATGGAAATTGGATTTTGGAAATCCAGTTGTCTATTATCCATTGTTTTAGTCCTTCACTTATCTTTCATTTTTTTCTCTGAGTCTTTTCTCTTCTGAGGTCCATAGGGTTCAGTGGTAGAATTCTCACTTTCCGTGTGGGCGGCCTGGGTTCAGTTCCCAGCCAGTGCACCTCCTATGTACCCACCAAACATCTGTCATTGGAGGTTTGTGTGTTGCTATGATGCTGAACAGTTTTCAGTAGAACTTCCAGACAAACAGACTAGAAAGAAAAGTCTGGCAATCTAGTTTTCTGAAAATTAGCCAGTGAAAACCACGAGGATCACAATGTTCAGTCCCATTGTGTATGGGGTCACCATGAGTCAGGGGCTGATTCAACAGCTGCTAACAACTTTTCTCTTTTACCTCCCTACAGGGGGAGAGTCTCATATAGAAAGGAGCTCCTGGACTTAGAGCCTGGGCATCTTTTTCTCTGGGGGTAAATGAACTTGTGCAGAATGCTTCTGTTTTGAATTGTCTCCTGGATTGTCCTACCCGTTTGTGGGGACACTAATGTTTGGTGGACAGATGACACAGTGCCTTTCCACTGAGTTCTAACTCTGTCATTGTTACCTGGGCACCTGGTTTAAATAGCTGAACCACTGTTCTACTTCATTCTGGCCCAGTCTCAGCAAGATTATGTAGTGTGCAGTATTTATCTTATAAAACATTCTGATACACTAGGAGAAAAAGGAAGTGACATTCAAACCTGCTGGTTTTGTTATTTGCTAACATCTCTGCCCAAAGGTATGTCCTGGGAGAGTTCAGACACTCTGGATCTTTTTGAGATCTATTTTTGGTGCTGCTGTTCTTCCTCTTCCCTGTTGTAGTGAATATTAAACATCTACTTGGTATTTATGTTAATTTTAATATTAATAAGAATATGCTTACTCCTAAATCTATTTATTTTGCTAGCCCTGGTGGCACAGTGGCTAAGAGCTTGGCTGCTAACCAAAAGGTCGGCAGTTTGAATCCACCAGCTGCTTCTTGGAAACCCTATAGGGCAGTTCTATTCTGTCCTATACAGTCGCTATGAGTTGGAATCGATTTGACAGCAGTGGGTTTTGGTGTATGTCCTAGAGTAGGGATCAAGCCAGAAGTGACATATATCTGGAAACATCTGGCTAGATGTCCCGCCAAAAAAATCAAACCCCATAGGGTTTCCAAGGCTATAATCTTTCAGAAACAGACTGCCACATCTTTCTCCTGTACAGTAGCTGGTAGGTTTGAACCGCTAGCCTTTCAGTTAGCAGCTGAGCACTTAACTACAGCACCACCAGGGCTCCTTCTAGGACATATGTCCCTCATTAATTTATCTCTGAACATGAACTTCAGAACTCTTTGATATTAAGTATTCCATCGCTCGAACTAGGAAAATAGTTTTCACCTTGTTTATACAACTCTTGTGTAAACTGTGTAATGTTAATCACATTAGTTCTCCCATTCATTTGATGGGAGTTGGCCTGAATGTAATTCTACCAAATTCATTTCCGTCTGGGCAGTGAAGACTATGCAGACCTTTCTCAGATCTCTCCGTCTCTGTGGGTCTCGGTGTGTGTCTCTCTGTTTCTGTATGTTCCCTCCGTGAATCACAAGCATGACAGTATACCAGCCTTCATGGATTGGTATTAGGCTTATCTTTGAGGATTTATCCTATGGTAATAGAGTAGTATTTTCCTATTAGAAAAGCCATTCATTTATTATGTCTCTTTAGTAGTAAATATACATTGAATATTTGTAGAAGGAAAACTATCAGCGGTCAATTCCGGTAAAACTGGTTAGTTTCATTAAATGCTAGATGTTGAATGTTACTTTCCGATCTCAGTCTTTATAATATTTTCTTCTTAGTAAACTTTAATTCAGGCCAAATACACATGTGGAGGAGTTGTGGCCATTCTTACTGTAATTACATTACTGCATGTTTCAGATTCTCTCAGTGATAGATTGTTTTCCTGTAATTATTCTCTGTTGTCTAAGTAATTTATCTAGTATGCAGATGAGTACGAAAAAAGCTAATTTCTTTTAAGACTAAAGTATCTGCTTGTGCTTGTTTCAGGAAAACCTCACAGCACTGGTAGTTTGGAACGGATTCAACTCTCAGGAATGTATAATGTTCGTAAAGGCAAAATGCAGTTGCCAGTGAACCGATGGACAAGACGCCAAGTCATCCTGTGTGGGACCTGCCTAATAGTATCATCTGTAAAAGACAGCGTGACCGGAAAGATGCATGTTCTGCCACTAATTGGTGGAAAAGTAAGTTTAAAATAAATAAAATGTTGGCTTTCTGATCTGTTCAGCTTGAAGATAATGGTTTCCCAGCACACTAAGGAGCTTACTTCGGACCTTTTCTCAGGTAGTAGGTAGATGGTGATTGACTCATCCATGAGGTCTTACTCAGCTTCTATCGTGCTCCAGCAGTGAGCATTGTTGGTTGGTGGAGTTGTGGGAAATAACGCTGCCACTGGCTCACGTGAGGCCATGGTGATCTTCGCTTCATTAGTATATGCATTTTTCAGATCAACTAGAATTTCAGTGTTACATTCTAGGCTATACATGATAAGTTCATCATTTATGAGTAGGCACCTTTTGATATCTTGAGCATATATTTTGTAGAGTACGATAATGATCCCTCAGCCTAAGATGGTGATCTTAGAACCGTTCAACCATGCTTATCAAAGGTTAGACTTTGTGTAGCACTGAAGTTTTGATCCCACTTTGCTTTATATCTCTGTGTTTAGTGACCACTGGAGTTTAGCATTTTTCGTTGTTTCACTGTGGCTAGTCATAATTTCTGAGCCTGAAATGTTACTTACTTCTGAGAAGACGTGATGTAAATGACAGAAATTTCTGACTTGCTACTTTTCTCTGGTCATGTTAACTCTTTCATTCCCATCATTTATAAAATAGAAAGAACCAGATTCCTTGGGAAAATGCTATATTTTTCCCTCTGCTCTTATACATTCTCATCTTAAAAAAGGCAAACACCGATCATTTTCAGAAATAGGTTTTGGCTAGGCTGCCAGGTACATTTTGAAACCATTGCTCCTTTACTTTTCTTTGAACGTTGAAGAATTAGTGACTAATACTTATTGTTGAAGATCTTGCCCTTTTAATGGATTACTGAGAAATTAGTCATTATTATTACCATAAGTCATCATTAAAAATGCATATTTAATATTCGGTGCCCTGTTAGGTCAACAATCTCTCTCTCTCCTCTATAAAGTTAGATTTTTGCATAGGCAAATTTAATGTCGCTATTTATTAAATACCGTCTGTGGGGAAGGCAGTTTGCTTGGCGCCTGGAAATACCAGGAAGGGTGAGTCTGTTTCTATCAGGAGATGATAGATGGACTCAACAATATCTGCTCTAAGAGATGTGCAAAAAAGTACTGTGGGAGATTAGTGGAAGGAGATTACGTTTAGTGGAGGGAATCTGGGAAGTTTGTAGAGAAGGAGGTAGCAATTATGGTAGAACTTGAAGGGTGAAAAATCTTTTGACATATGAAGGAGACAGTCAGAAAGATTATTATGCTCAGAGACGCAGAGGCAGGAAAGCACACGGAATGTTCAGATAAGGTCAGAAGAACGAGTTATAATTAGCATCTTCATTGAGAGCTTAAGAGACTTGTCCTGTTTCCCAGGCCCTGTGTGCCCAAGCCTACAAATGGATGGACTTTTACCATTGAGTGAATTGAAAGTTAATAACTTCCTCTTTTCACAGGCAAAGCTTGTAAAACCTGTTTTGGGCTATGCCTTTGAAAATAATTGAGTTCATTGAAAAACTGAGTCTTTTAAAACCTGTTGTCTGAGTTAGGAAAAAAAAATAATTCATTCTTTGCAATCTGAATTTTCTTTTATGTTTATTTATTCCATTTTTCATTCTGTTATTAAAGGATAACCAGTAACCAGTTGTCCTTGAGTCGATTCCGACTTATGGCATCCCCATGTGTGTCAGAGTAGAACTATGCTCCATAGGGTTTTCAATGACTGTTTTTATTGGAAGTAGATCTAGGCGCGTAGGCCTTTCTTCCGTAGTCCCTCTGGGTGGACTCAAACCACGAACCTTTTGGTTAGCAGCCAAGCACTTTACCATTTGCCCCACCCAGGGACTAAACTGGGAGTAAATGGAAGGGTTTGTTTTTTATTTTTTTATTTTTAATATAAAGATGATATAGAAATAAGGTGTGAGATTGATTGGTCATAGCCTAGCTATAATTGCTATGGTAATCAAATTTGACATACTGCTTGGGCATGGTCATTAGTTTATGTTTTCAAATACAGAATTCCAAAAATGGATTTTAATAAAGCTCTCTTAAAATTTAATTGTTGAAATATTTGTTGAATAGAAAAGTTTTTATTCATTTTGCAATTATTACATTATATTCAATTTCTCCTTTAGGTTGTAACATGTAGATTTTTAGATAATTAACTTATTTTTAACTAATACTTTAAGATTTGTTAAATTGTAAAGCATAATCAATTGAATAACTGTTAACCTGTTACTCAGGAATTATACCTATATCAATACCAATGTTTCTACCTGTGTTCTCTTTATATCTATCACATTGCCACCCCAAATCTCAGAGGTATCCAGTGTCCTGGAATGCATATTTATCATTTTCTTCCTTTTTTTTTTTTTTATTGTACTTCAGGTGAAGGCATACAGAACAAATAGTTTCTCATGAAACAGTAGTACATATATTGTTTTATGACATTGGTTAACAGCCCCACAACATGTCAACCCTCTCCCTTCTCGACCTTTTTTTTTTGGTGAAAATATGCATAGCCAAAGATACACCATTTCAAAAATTTCTACATGCACAATTCAGTGACATCGACTACGCTCTTCCAATTGTGCTGCTATTATTCTCACTTTAGATGAAGGCTTACAGAACAAAATAGTTTCTCATTTAACCATTAGTACACATGTTGCCCTATGACAATGGTTAACAACCTCACAACACATCAACACTATCCTTACTCAACCTTGGGTTCCCTATCACCAGCTTCCTTGTCCCCTTCTGCCTGCTGACCCTTGTCCCTGGACTGCTGTACCTCATTAGTCCCATTTGGTTTTATGGGGCTGTCCACTCCCAGGCTGAACGGTGAACCTTGGAGATGACTTCACCACTGAGCTAAGAGGGTGTCCAGGGGCCATACTCTTGGGGTTTCTCCAGTCTCCTTTAGGCCAGTAAATCTGGTCTTTTTTTTGTGAGTTAGAATTTTGTTCTACATCCTTTTCCAGCTCTGTCCAGAACCCTCTGTTGTGATCCTGGTCAGAGCAGTCAGTGGTGGTAGCCGGACACCATCTAGCTGTACTGGACTCAGTCTGGTGGAGGCCTTGGTAGCTGTGGTCCATTAGTCCTTCAGACTAATCTTTTCCTTGTATCCTGTTCTCTTCATTCTCCCTTGCTCCCGGAGAGATGAGACCAGTGCAGTATCTTAGATGGCTGCTCACAGGCTTTTAAGACCCCAGCCGCTACTCACCAAGGTAGAATGTAGAACATTGTCATTATAAACTGTGTTATGCCAGTTGAGCTAGATGTTCCCCAAGACCATGGTCCCAGCAGCCCTCCACCGAGCAATTCAGTTGAAAAAAAAAATTTTTCACGTAACTATGTCTTGCTTGTTTTTGATCTGTATGAAAATGATCTACTATGATTAAATTTTTTCACTCAGTATTATGTTTCATAATAACACTCCATGTTATATATGGTTTTCATTTCTGTATAATAGTACATTCTGTAAACATTCCATAATTTCTTAAGTAATTTTCTTCTTGATGGATGTTTGCGTTGTTTCCGGTTTTTCATTATTATAAACAATGTTGCTGTACATATTCTTAGGTTTATGTATTTCCTGGTATGCAGGTAGTTTTTCTAGGGCAGTAGTTCTCAACTAGAGTTATTATGCCTCAGAGGGTAATTTGTGGGAACATTTTGACTGTGAAATGATTGAACTGTATATCAGTTAACATAGGCTAGGTTATGCTGTGATAACAACACCCTGTCCCCGCCCCGGTATCAGTGACTTCACGCAACATTTATTCCTTGCTTATACTCTGTGTGCATTGTGGTTAGTGGGGGTGGGAAGGTGGGGATTTCCTTTTCAAAGGGACTCAACCTGATGGAGGCTTTGCTCTCTTGTAATTATAACATTTGAAACATGTGGTCTTAGTTTCCTTGCTTTGACAGGGGAAGAAGTAACTGGAGGGTCTCTGTATAGAAACACAATGGATTTTTGAGTATTAACCTTATATCCAGCACCTTGCTAAATTTTCTTGTTTATTTTAATATAAGGTCTGTTCTTTTGGGTTTCTTATATAGCTGCTGTCGTTATTGTTAGGTGTCATTGAGTCAGTTCCAACTCATAGCAACCCTACGTACAACAGAACGAAACATTGCCAGGTCCTGCGCCATCCTCACAGTCCTTGCTATTTTTGAGCCCATTGTTGCAGCCACTGTTATCAATCCATCTCATTGAGGGTCTTTTTCTTTTTTACTGACCCTCTACTTTACAAAGTATGATGTCCTTCTCCAGGGACTAGTCCTTCCTAATAACATGTCTGAAGTATGTAAGACAAAGTCTTGTCATCCTCGCTTCTAAGGAGCATTCTGGCTATACTTCTTCCAAGACAGATTTGTTCCTTCTTCTGGAAGTCCATGGTATAGTCAATATTCTTCACCAACACCATAATTCAGAAGCATCAATTCTTCTTTGGTCTTCCTTATTCATTGTCCAGTTTTCACATGCATATGAGGCAGTTGAAAGTACTGTGGCTTGGGTCAGGTGCACCTTAGTCCTCAAAGTGCCATCTTTGCTTTCGAACACTTTAAAGAGGTCTTTTGCAGCAGATTTGCCCAATGCAATGCATCGTTTGATTTTTTGACTGCTGCTTCCATGGGCATTGATGGTGGATCCAAATAAAGTGAAATGCTTAACAACTTCAGTCTTTTCTCTGTTTTTCATGATGTTGCTTATTGGTCCAGTTGTAAGGATTTTTGTTTCCTTTATGTTGAGGTGTAATCCACATTGAAGGCTGTAGTCTTTGATCTTCATCAATAAGCGCTTCAGGTTCTCTTAGCTTTCAGTGAGGAAGATTGTATCATCTGTATATCACAGGTTGGTAATGAGCCTTCTTCCAGTCCTGATGCTGCGTTCTTCTTTATAGAATCCAGCTTCTCAGATTCTCAGCATACAGATTGAGTAAGTATGGTGAAAGGATACAACCCCATTGCTCACTTTTCCTGATTTTAAACCACGCAGTATCCCCTTGTTGTGTTTGAACGACTGCCCCTTGGTCTATGCACAGGTTCTGCATGAGCACAATTAAGTGTTCTGGAATTCCCATTGTTCGCAATGTTATCCATAATTTGTTATGATCCACGAGATGCCTTTGCGTAGTCAATAAAACACAGGTAAACATCTTTCTGGTATTCTGCTTTCAGCCATGATCCATTTGATATCAGCAATGATATCCCTGGTTCCATGTCCTCTTCTGAATCCTGCTTCAATTTCTGGCAGTTCCCTGTCAATGTAGTGGTGCAACAGCTAATCATATAATATTCAAATAGTGACAATTTTGTTTCTTCCTTGTATAATTTCTTTGTCTTTTTGTGATAACCAGAACTCTAGTATAGTGTTGAATAGAAATAGTACATCCTTGTTTTGTGAATGATCCAAAAGAGAGTTATAGCTCACCCCTAACATTGAAGTTTGTCTTAGATATTTAATAGATACGCTTGGTCACCCGAAGGGAGTTACTTTGTGTCCTTAGTTTGCTAATAGTTTTTATCATGAATGAGTGGTGAATGTTATCAAATGCTTTTTCCTCAACTGCGGATGTGACATGGTTTCTTCTTTAATCTGTTAATGTGATTATGATTTTTTAGTTCTAATGTTAAACTATTCTTGCTTTCCTCAGATATATCCAACTTGATAATATTTTTTCTGTATTACTGGAGTCTGGATGCAGCATTTTTTTTTTTTTTAATGATATATGTTCATGACTGAGGTTGGCCTGTAATTTTCCCTTCTCTTACTGTTGTGATACGGTTTTGTTTATACTGGCTTCATAAAATGAGTGGGCATTTTTTCCTTCATTTTCTATTTGGTGGATGTTTGTATGAGTTTTGAATGATCTGTTACTTGAGACTTTCTAAAACTCACCTGTAAAACCATATGAGCCTAATATTTTCTTGAGAATTTTTTTTTTTAGTACTTATTTCCTAAATGGTTATAAGACTATTTAGGCTTTCTTTTGTTTTTCCTTTCTTCATTTAGTTTTGGTAAATTTTTTTCTAAGAGTATGCCAAAAAGTTGTTTCTAATTTCTGATGAATCTGTAGTCATGCCGCCTTTTCATTGTTAATATTACTTGTATGTGTTTTCTCTTTTCCTAATAGAGCTTGCCAGATTTTTCTATTATTTTTCTTTTTTCAAAGAACCAGTTTTTGCTTTGTTAATGTTCTTCATGGTATATGTGTTTTTTATTTTACTAATTTCTGCTCTTATGTTTATCATCACCTTCATTCTACTTTGGGCTTATTCTGTTTTTGGTTTTGATTTTTTTCCCCTAAATTCTTGAGATGCCTACAAAATTAATTTTTTGTCCTCTTTTCTAGGATGAGTATTTAAGAATATAAATTTCTAGGTACTTTATTGCATTCCACAGATTCCCATATGTAGTATTTTTTTTAATTGTTTAGTTCTGAGAGTTTTTAAATTTTGATTGATTTCTGTTTTTATCCACAAGTTGTTTAGAAATGTGTTATTAATTTTCTAAACATATGATAACTTTAAGTTGATTGTTTTAGTATTGACTTTTAACTGCATTGTGATCTAATAGCATAGTCTGTGTGATATTAAAAATTTTTTTTTTACATTTTCTTTGTGACTTGGTTTATAGTCGCATTTATAAATGAAAGTAGAAGTTTGTGTGATATTTATATTAGTTTATTGTTAGGTTTTCCCACTTGTAAAGAATTTACTGAGAGTGGAAATTTGAGTTCACTCTACTGTTATCAAACGTAGCAACAATTGTGAGAATGGCACAGGACTGGACAGTGTTTTGTTCTGTTGTGCATAGGGTCGCTATGAGTTGGAACTGACTTGAGGGCACCTGATAACAACAACAAGTACTATTACATTACTAAGGACTTTAAAGTTCTCACGGTAGAGTTTTATATCAGGTTAATCGCATATTTTTTTTAACTTATTTAACATGCTTGAAGACTTCTTAAAAAAAAAGATTGTAATTCAGAGTAGCACAAAACTCCTGTAGAAGTCCTCCTAAGAGGAAGTAAGAGCCCCAGTACCCTATTCTGAGGGTAGAAGGATAAGAGAAGGTGGTCTATTCCAGGTTTAAACACGAAGAAGAGACTTTCACTAAGGTGACGAGATCTAAAGAAAAGAATCCCCTTTTTTGGTTTTCTTGTAATTCAGATGGGTTGGTCAGACTCAGGAATCTTATGTGTTTTAAGTAATGAGAAACATATATATGGGAAAGATGCAAATCTGTATAGTCTCATTGATCCAAGTTATATTTAATGGAATATGTAAATGATTCTGCTTTTTCACTTGTGTTTGTCTTTCTCTGTTTTTATAGGTAGAAGAAGTGAAAAAGCACCAGCACTGTTTAGCATTTAGCTCCTCTGGACCCCAAAGCCAGACTTACTACATTTGTTTTGATACTTTCACAGAGTATTTAAGGTGGCTTCGACAAGTCTCCAAGGTAAGCAAGTCCTTATCCAAGCTGTTCAGCTTCTAGCTGGCTAAAAAGTTATTTTCTGCTTTACCCAGTTCCAAAATACAGTGAAACACACAATTTTTTTTTTTTTTTTTTTTAGATACTACCAGTGTTTAGCAATTTTTAGACTTTAAAAGCTAATTTTGGCTGAAAAGTAGCTTTTTTAAAAAAAAAATTGTGTTTTATTTGCCAGATTTTGTTAAGTACATACTGAAAAAAATTCTGTGGGTAGACTTGCATTACTATCCTAATATTATAGATAACAAAAATGAGAGTGAGAGTATTTAAGCAACTGGCCCAGGGCGGGACAACTATAAAACCACAAAATACCCAGATGAATTTCCCCTCTTCTTCTAACTATTTTTCTTGTAAACAGACTAATCTTGTGCCATCTTCTTTCACCTTTATTCTGCATTTTGAGTGGTTTAATTTTGCTTTAATTAGTTTGACCATTTTATATTCCCCTGATTAAATAAGATCACCATGACCCATGAAATCATAGACCTTTGCGTGTGTGTGTATTTAGTGGAAACCAAAATAACATAATAAATAAAATAAATAAATGATGATATTTCAAGTACTGTGTATAAGGATGTTTTAAAATCTCATTTAGAAAACTATGTTTAAAGCTGTGAGGTTTTGTTTTTAAATCTCATTTACAAAACCATGTTTAAAATGATGGGTGGATTGCATTACTTAGTGTCTGGGTTTGGGTGTGCTTATGAAATGCTGAAACCTCTCTAGGGCACAGAAACATTGCAATGGAATTTGCTTTCATGTTTTTGAATTTATAATCCAGTTTGTTATCAAAGTCCAGTGTGATTCATGCTGCTGTATGATGTAATTAGTTGGCAAGTGAATGAATAAGGAAATAACCTTGTAAAAGAGTTAACAGAAAATTAGAGCATAATGTCTTGAAAGTCTTTTTGAAATACTGGCCACATTTGAATTATCAGGTAAAAATTGTGTTTCTCTGATGATGGAATATCATGTATGAACCTAAGTTTCTCCTCCTTTTGGAGAAGAGGCAATGGGCAGAGTTTAGGTTGATGGGACTTAGAAGATCCCTGCCCCCCCCCCCCAATAGGCAAACAAGCAGCCCTGGTGGCACAGTGGTTAAGTGCTTGGCTGCTAACCAAAATGTTTGAACCCACCAGCTACTCCTTGGGAGAAAGATGTGGCAATCTGCTTCTGTAAAGATTTCAGCCTTGGAAACCCTACGGGGCAGTTCTACTCTGTCCTATAGGGTCACTATGAGTTGGAGTTGTCTAGTGGGCAGCAGGTGTTAATACGCAAATGGAGATTCTAAGTGTATAAGGTGGCACGCCTGCCGGAGAAAATGCGAAAGATGACACTTTCCCCTCAGAGTTGCATGTAGAATAGTAGAGTGAATAAGTACATCTGTTTAGGAATTTTAAAATTACTCTTGTGGTTGTACATGTGAGGAGACAAGTATTAAATTACATTGTGCTTTTATATTTAAGTGGTTCTGTGGACTCAAAGCATAAGTCAGTGACCTACATTCAGAATAAAATGTCAACCTGTGGTCAAATACAGCAAGTTTTTATATGAAAATGTTTAGTTTTTTAGATAAACTTATTATATATAATGCCATTATTATATTTACATAAAAGTTGGAAAGATAATACAGAGATATACTCCTCACCCAGCTTCTGAAAGATCTTATGTCAACATGATACATTTGTTAAAACTAAGTTAATTGTCGCAACTCCTTAGTCTCCTTTGGTCTGTGATGGTTTCTCTGTCTTTCCCTGTTTTTCATGACCTTGACAGTTTTGAGGAGTACTGGATGAGATTTTGTAAAAGGTCCTATATGGAGGTATTTGTGTGTGTGTGTGTGTGTGTGTGTGTGTGTGTGTGTGTGTGTGTCAAGGAAAAAGTTTATTTCAGAACATATTTCAGATTGGGAAAACACCAGGAGATAAGTAAATACTAATATTGATTTTTAGGAGTTTTTCTAAAAATTCAGAAATCAGTTCTGCAAGAAACTGTGAAGGTAAAATAATTGAGGGTGGTGGGTTTTGTTTGTTTTGGGTTTTATTTTTTTTTAGCTGTTTTTCTTCTTACAACCTTGGAAGAGCACAACTCCCAAAACAGTTTTTTTTTTTTAAGTAATTCTTTTGTCTAAGATGAGTTGTTTTAAGAGAAAATCTCTGAGGCAGTGAAGAAAATATACTAAAAGAGCAATGATCAAAATGTTTCCTTGGAAAACTTGTATAGTACTTTTAAAAAATACAGGTTATATGTCTTTGCACTCAATTTTGATTTTTATGTAACTCCCAGATGCTTCTACTGCAGCTGGATCTCTAAGGAAGTAGTTAAGAGAAGGAAAATGTAAACCCAACTAAAATGTAGTTCTTTTTGGTCCCATAGGAAGGCCATAGTGTTATGCTACTAAAATAACATATTTTGGGTCTTACAAAAATCACATATAAATCTTTTAAAAATATAATTAATAACCTTTTTATTTTTGCAAATATATAATTGCAATTACTGATTTAAAATGTCAGGCAATAAGAAAAAGGTTTAAAGATAAAACAAAAACTATCTAAATCCATTTATATTTTATTTAAGTGTCTGTAATTTACATTTTGATATAAAACCCTCAGTATTTTTTTTTTTACCGAATGTATTTAGAGTTACTTCAGAAAAATTGAATCGTAATGTTCATAACTTTTTTGGCAGATAAACATTTTTGTGGGCATTCTTTTGTGGGTATGTCTGTATGTGTCGATAGGCATTATAATATTTAATAGTTACATGATATTCCATTCTAATGAATAATTTTTAATCCCAATTGTTGGACTTTTTAATTGTTTTATTTTTTCTTGTATAAAAACTAACTTGATGAACATCATTAAACTGATATCTTTTCATGCTTGTCAATTATTTATTTAGGTTCAAATCATAGATGTGGAATTATAAAGTCAAAATTTAACACATCTGCAATTTTATTCATACTGCTAGATTTCTCTTAAGGAAGTGTAGCAATTTTCTCTCCACCAGTGCATGACAATGCCCTTTTCAACATACTTTTGTCATTATGAAAGTGATGTGAAAAGTGTTTTATCCTTTACCAATCTAATGGATAAAAAATGATGTCTCGTTATTTAGTCTGTGCTTATTTAACAGTGAGATTGAACATCTTTTCATATGTATACTGGCAGTCCCTTTGCTATGTGTGAAATAGGTTAATTTCTGTTTGCCTATCTAATATCTAATATCTATCAATAGATATTAACATTTTACACTTTGTTTAAAATATTTTCTCATTTCTCTGTATTTTCCACTTCTATAAATAAGTAAATTATTGTCTTGGCATTTGATACGTCATAAAAAACAAACACCTTTTTCTACTCTGAAAATAATGGGAGAGCTTATGGGAGTGGGGTCTGGGCCTTCAAATGGGACCTTTACCCACTGAAATGAGATCTTCATAATAATGTCATGTCCGTGGTAGTGAAGAGGTTCATGTCAAGATGAAAGTAGCTGTGCCCATATTTGGTTGAGTGTTTCTACAAATGTGGTCTGAGCTCTGTTTGCCTCAGAATTCCTTGTGGTGCTTGCTTCACAGCAGATTCCTGGTCCCTCTGTAGCCCTGTTACTTCTGGAAACGGGCCTAGGAACTTGCATAATCCCCAGGTAATTCCTATACATAGTAAAGTTCGAGAACTCCTGATTTGATTAATGTGTGACTACTAATCCTAGACATAGTCAAGAATTTGGTATACAAAAAGGCATTTGAAGGCAATGAACGTGATTTCTTTACCTTTAGCATCCCCTCCTCTATATGTGGAGTGTTACAGAAAAAAAATTCCTCCTTACCTATTCAATACTTTAAAAACTGTAAGTAACTCAATCGTGTGGTGTTTTCTTTTTGTTAGAGGAAACTGTATATTATCAAATTTCCTTTTGTCTCTATGGCTTCCGTTAAGTCCAAAGTTAAGATTAATGCTGAATTTTAGGAAATTCCGTCAGTTTACATTTCTGATATAATTCTCTGCATCAGTCATTTATATAACATTGCTTTTATCCTTATTTTAATAGTGCTATTGTATATTTATCTTTTATTGTCAACTATCACAAAAATATTTTATTGTAAACGATCACAGAAGTGAAGACGGTATAATAATAAATGTAAAGAACACAAGTAGACTAATGTAACAAAATGTCAAAATGGGATTCTCTCTTTCTAGTTTACCTGAGTCTTCCAAGGTTGAGAACAATATAGTAGGTGCTAGATTCTAATGTGAGGTATTAGGGTTTTAAAAGTAGAAGAGAGAAACAAAAGAGGAGGCTGAAATGATGTGAGAAAAACTGGACTGGCTATTTCTGGCTTTGAAGATGGAGGGAGGGTCCCATGAGCCAAGGAATGTGGGCAGCCTCTAGAAGCTGGAAAAGGCAGTGAAAGTGATTTTCCCCTAGAGCTTCCAGAACAGAATAAAGGTTTACCAACACATTGATTTTAGCCCAGTGAGGCCTGTGTCAGGCTTCTGACCTGTAGAACTGTAAGATTGTAAATGTGTGTAGTTTAAAGCCACTGAGTTTGAGGTAATTTGTTGTGGCAGTCATAGAAAACTAATACACCAGGTTTCCTATATTTTAGGAGCAGAGGAACTAAGTTTTAGTAAATCCATTTATTAGCCCAAGCGTATAACTAGGCTAGATCCTTTAGCTTTGAAGAATTGTTACATCAATTATTTTTATGATGCAGTTTTACTTTTTATCTAGAAACATGAGAACCAGTACATTTCATAAACTATCCCTTCTCTGAACATCTTTTCATATGTTATAAGATAGACACAGAAGTGATATGGCTTGGAATCTTATAAAGGCTAAAGATAAGTTCATATATCTATCAAGATCTTCTTTGACGTGAGGGAACATAAATCTGAAATTGACTTATAGAGCGCTTTTTTAGAGAATTAGATTTTTTTTTTTTATCACCAACCATTGCATGTATT